CTCTGTGGGTCTATGAGAGTCTATGAGTCTCTGTGGGTCTATGAGTCTCTGTGGGTCTATGAGTCTCTGTGGGTCTATGCGTCTCTGTGGGTCTATGAGTCTCTGTGGGTCTATGAGAGTCTATGAGTCTCTGTGGGTCTATGGGTCTCTGTGGGTCTATGAGTCTCTGTGGGTCTATGCGTCTCTGTGGGTCTATGAGTCTCTGTGGGTCTATGGGTCTCTGTGGGTCTATGAGTCTCTGTGGGTCTATGAGAGTCTGTGGGTCTATGAGTCTCTGTGGGTCTATGGGTCTCTGTGGGTCGTTGTGGGTCTATGGGTCTCTGTGGGTCTATGAGTCTCTGTGGGTCTATGGGTCTCTATGGATCTATGAGAGTCTGTGGGTCTATGGGTCTCTGTGGGTCTATGAGAGTCTGTGGGTCTATGAGTCTCTGTGGGTCTATGGGTCTCTATGGATCTATGGATTTCTGTGGGTCTATGGGTCTCTGTGGGTCTATGAGAGTCTGTGGGTCTATGGGTCTCTATGGGTCTATGGGTCTCTGTGGGTCTATGAGTCTCTGTGGGTCTATGAGTCTCTGTGGGTCTATGAGTCTCTGTGGGTCTATGAGTTTTTGTGGGTCTATGAGTCTCTGTGGGTCTATGGGTCTCTGTGGGTCTATGAGTCTCTGTGGGTCGATGGGTCTCTGTGGGTCGATGGGTCTCTGTGGGTCTATGCGTCTCTGTGGGTCTATGAGTCTCTGTGGGTCGATGGGTCTCTGTGGGTCTATGAGTCTCTGTGGGTCTATGAGTCTCTGTGGGTCTATGAGAGTCTGTGGGTCTATGAGTCTCTGTGGGTCTATGCGTCTCTGTGGGTCTATGAGTCTCTGTGGGTCTATGCGTCTCTGTGGGTCTATGAGTCTCTGTGGGTCTATGAGAGTCTATGAGTCTCTGTGGGTCTATGAGTCTCTGTGGGTCTATGAGTCTCTGTGGGTCTATGCGTCTCTGTGGGTCTATGAGTCTCTGTGGGTCTATGAGAGTCTATGAGTCTCTGTGGGTCTATGGGTCTCTGTGGGTCTATGAGTCTCTGTGGGTCTATGCGTCTCTGTGGGTCTATGAGTCTCTGTGGGTCTATGCGTCTCTGTGGGTCTATGAGTCTCTGTGGATCTATGGGCCTCTGTGGGTCTATGAGTCTCTATGGGTCTATGGGTCTCTGTGGGTCTATGGGTCTCTGTGGGTCTATGGGTCTCTATGGGTCTATGGGTCTCTGTGGGTCTATGGGTCTCTGTGGGTCTATGGGTCTCTGTGGGTCTATGGGTCTCTGTGGGTCTATGAGTCTCTGTGGGTCTATGAGTCTCTGTGGGTCTATGGGTCTCTGTGGGTCTATGGGTCTCTGTGGGTCTATGGGTCTCTGTGGGTCTATATGAGTCTCTGTGGGTCTATGCGTCTCTGTGGGTCCATGCGAGTCTATGAGTCTCTGTGGGTCTATGGGTCTCTGTGGGTCTATGCGTCTCTGTGGGTCTCTGTGGGTCTATGAGTCTCTGTGGGTCTATGCGTCTCTGTGGGTCTATGAGTCTCTGTGGGTCTAGGTCTTCCGGAAGACGTTTGATCTTCCGGAAGAATTAGTTTGCGTTTTTTATAACTGGTTACTCTTCCTGTCTATGACGTCACGCCCCACCCCCTCCCCCACGTTTCTCCCCCCACCCTCACCCCATCCCCTTTCCCATCGATAATTCTTCCGGAAGAACTCAACTTCTTCCGGAATACAGGAGAGCACAACTTCCGGAAGACGTTTGTTCTTCCAGAAGATGTGTTTGTGTTTTTTTATCGTGTTAATCCTATTTATGACGTCACCCAACCCCGCCCAACACTTCCCGCAATCCCAACCTCTACTCAGTTCTCGCGAGACTCGAAGTGAGACCGAAACCTCGCGAGAGTCACCCCCCCCCATCCCCCCACACACCCACCCCCACCTCGAATAAGTTCTCGCGAGACTCGAGGTGAGGGCGAAACCTCGCGAGAGTCCCACGCCCCCCCCCATCCCCCCACACACCCACCAGCCCCCACCTCCAATTACATTCCTTCAATAATTACCAAATAGAGCAAGTCAAGATCTATAAGGATCTTGGGGTCATCCTGGATTCAAAGCTGAATTATGAAGATCACATTGATTATATTGGTAAAAAGACAAAAATAAAAATTGGTTTTCTGTATCGACACAAGCACTGCTTCCCCCAATGTTCCGTTTGGAATTGATAAAAGCTACCATACTGCCTCTACTTGACTACTGTGACATCGTGTATAAATCAGCCCCAAGTACTGTACTGAAGAAGCTTGATTCCATCTATCACTCGGCCTTAAGATTTCCATTGAACTGCCCATATAGGACTCACCACTGTGATTTAACACGTAGGCTTTCGCGACCAATATTATTCATAATAAATATAATTACAATACCCCCCCCCCTCCGCCTCAAATCACTGCACCTGATATGAGTTAAATGATGACGTTACCCTGCTGCTCTATATAAAACCGGGAGCAAACGAGGGCTTTACCATTCTGGCGAATTGCCCGATGATGCGAAACGTCGTACTCAAACTGTAAATGTTGTGGATTCACTCTTCAACAAACCGGTGGGCTAAAGTAGTGAACTATTTGTCTTTTGTCAACGTGACACTTTTTTTGCTGATTGGCCGTGTCGGGTGGTGGAGGGTTACGACACATTTATAAATAACGCGATCTAACCCAAAAACCTTTATTATGAATCACCACTGTGATCTCTACATTGGGTCAAACTTAACATCTCTTAATGTTCGACGGCTTGTGCACCGGATGATCTTATTTATTCACGATGTACTTACAAAAAAAATCCGCAGACTACCTGCTGCTGGATCTCCTCTCTGTTTCAAAGAACAAATTTGACCTCAGGTCTTCGCTCATTTACCAGCTTCACATTCCCCTATTGCCGTACAAAAACCGGAGGAAGGGCCTTTGCTATTGATGCCCCCAGGGTCTGGAATGCTATTGCCAATAAACTGAAACTTGAATCGCTACCAATGAGATCTTCTCTCAAAACTGCTCTAGAGGAGTTGTACACCCCTAGCTGCCACTGCTATTCATTGGCGTAAAATAAAATAAAATGTTTCGCTCCGAATTACCGGTGCAAAGTATTATCTGTATTTTGATTTAGCGTGCTGATCTTAAAGGTGCATTGAAAAATTTGATACTCCGACCGATGCTTCTGTTGTTGTGGAGTAACTCATGCAGCCAGCTATGGCTCCAGGGTTTGGTGCTACATGTTGTTTATGTAGTTTATTGTTTAAAAAAAATTCGGTCACAGTCCCTATGATCACTGTCACGTTGCAATTACGGCTTTATTTTTTGGTGATTTCGAAAAGTTTTTTTGGTTTGGCCATGTTTGTTTTGTTGTAGTACGGAGTTAGGCTGACGGCCTTAATCTAAGTTGTCTTGTGGTTGTTGTTGTTGTTGTTTGACTTGCATCCCAATTGGCTATACCCAATAAATAAACTGTAGCTAGAAAACAATAAGTTCTCGCGAGACTTGAGGTGAGAGCGAAACCTCGCGAGAGTCCCACGGCCCGCCACCCCCTCCCACCCCACCCTCACCTCCAATATGTTCTCGCGAGACTTGAGGTGAGAGCGAAACCTCGCGAGAGTCCCACGGCCCGCCACCCCCTCCCACCCCACCCTCACCTCCAATATGTTCTCGCGAGACTTGAGGTGAGAGCGAAACCTCGCGAGAGTCCCACGGTCCCCCCCACCCTATACCCCCCACCCACCCCCAACATCCCCCACCACCCCACCTCGAATAAGTTCTCGCGAGACTCGAGATGATCGCGAAGCCTCGCGAGACTACCACGGTCCGCTTCCCGTTCGGCGCGCGACCATGGGTGAGTTCGTTCCCCACCCTCACGCCCGCGTCGCCTTCTCCCGCCAAAATTCATCGTTATTATCGATAATAATATCGATCTTACGACGACGATTGTCTTAACGCGCCGTACCGTCGAGAGAAACGGCGGTTTGAGAGAGAGCGACGTTCGATAAAAAAATGTAAAAATTATTTATTTTAACAAAAAAATGAGCCGCTTGTTACGATTCTGAGGCGATTTTTTTGTTATTTCTTTTTATTCCCACTCTCTGGAGATGTATCAATGCATTAGTTACGGATAAGCGACCTTAACATGCCAATTTAATTAACTCTCCCAATCACACATTTTATATACATACGACACCAACGTGTTTTGTTTACGCGAATTAAAACGCCTCTTACTAATTGCCTGCCTTGGTGACGGCGTGTTTAGCGATACTTTTATATAATTACGCGATGTTTTTATCGTATTATATTGCTTGTTAAGACGAGTTTGCAATATGTATCGGTCGCCTTGGCTTTTTATGTTACCACTTACACATTTTGTTACGCTTTTAAAAACAATATTGCTTGATTAACCATAGTTAAATGCGTTACTTTTTAATTTGTTTTCGCGACTAAATACAGACCCCTCTTACCAATTGGCTGTCGATGTTTAACGACGCAATTATATCTTTACGCGATATATAATAACGCGATATAATATTGGTCACGAAATCCACTACTACAACGTGTTAAAACTAATTTCTAATATCGCTCGCCGTTCTATATGTCACCAGTTATACCTTTATTACATTCATATATACGGCTTTTAAACAAACAATTTACTTATTAACCATTTTTAAATGCATTACTTTGTGTGCGCGTGTTAAAGTTATTGTTGTCGGCTGTTAAAGTACTCAACACTGCACCATAGACTCAGCACTGCACCATAGACTCAACACTGCACCATAGACTCAACACTGCACCATAGACTCAACACTACCCATAGACTCAACACTGCCCATAGACTCAACACTGCACCATAGATTCAACACTGCACCATAGACTCAACACTGCACAATAGACTCAACACTGCACCATAGACTCAACACTGCACCATAGACTCAACACTGCACCATAGACTCAGCACTGCACCATAGACTCAACACTGCACCATAGACTCAACACTGCACCATAGACTCAACACTGCACCATAGACTCAACACTACACCATAGACTCAACACTGCACCATAGACTCAACACTGCACCATAGACTCAACACTGCACCATAGACTCAACACTGCACCATAGACTCAACACTGCACAATAGACTCAGCACTGCACAATAGACTCAACACTGCACCATTGACTCAACACTGCACCATAGACTCAACACTGCACCATAGACTCAACACTGCACCATAGACTCAACACTGCACCATAGACTCAACACTGCACCATAGACTCAACACTGCACCATAGACTCAACACTGCACCATAGACTCAACACTGCACAATAGAATCAACACTGCACCATAGACTCACCACTGCACAATAGACTCAACACTGCACCATAGACTCAACACTGCACCATAGACTCAACACTGCCCATTGACTCAACACTGCCCATTGACTCAACACTGCACCGCACCATAGACTCAACACTGCACCATAGACTCAACACTGCACCATAGACTCAACACTGCCCATAGACTCAACACTGCACCATAGACTCTGTGAGTATGTTATGTCTCTTTGTGCATCTGTGGGTCTCTCTGGAATTCTGCATCGCTATCTTAGTCGATAGCACCATGAGAATCATTGGTTCTCTCTGTTAGCCTACAGGCCTGTTTAGTAAGTTTCTGGGTGTCTACCTGAGTCTATGTGGGCCTCTTTACAGTCTGGGTCTCTATTAGTCTATAGGTTCATGAGAATCATTGGGTCTAATTAATTAGCCTATGGGACTTTATGTGCGTCAGTGGGTCTATGAAAGTCTGGGTATCTATGTGAGTCTATGGGACTGTATGTGCGTCTGTGGGTCTCTATGAAAGTCGGGGTCTCTGTCAGTCTAAGGCCCTGTATGTGTGTCTGTGAGTCTATGAAAGTCTGGGTCTGTTAGTCAATGGAACTGTATGTACATATGTGGGTCTCTATGAAAGTCTGGGTATCTATGTGAGTCTATGGGACTGTATGTGCGTCAGTGGGTCTATGAAAGTCTGGGTATCTATGTGAGTCTATGGGACTGTATGTGCGTCAGTGGGTCTCTATGAAAGTGTGGGTCTCCATGTTTGTCAATAGGACTGTGTGCGTCTGTGGGTCTCGATGAATGTGTGGGTCTCCATGTTTGTCAATGGGACTGTATGTGCGTCTTTGGGTCTCTATTAAAGTGTGGGTCTCCATGTTTGTCAATGGGACTGTATGTGCGTCTGTGGGTCTCTATGAAAGTGTGGGTCTCCATGTTAGTCAATGGGACTGTGTGCGTCTTTGGATCTCTATGAAAGTGTGGGTCTCCATGTTAGTCTATGGGACTGTATGTGCGTCAGTGGGTCTCTATGAAAGTGTGGGTCTCCATGTTTGTCAATGGGACTGTATGTGCGTCTGTGGGTCTCTGAAAGTCTGGGTATCTATGTGAGTGTATGGGACTGTGTGTGCATCAGTGGGTCTATGAAAGTCTGGGTCTCCATGTTTGTCAATGGGACTGTATGTGCGTCTGTGGGTCTCTATGAAAGTGTGGGTCTCCATGTTAGTCAATGGGACTGTGTGCGTCTTTGGATCTCTATGAAAGTGTGGGTCTCCATGTTAGTCTATGGGACTGTATGTGCGTCAGTGGGTCTCTATGAAAGTGTGGGTCTCCATGTTTGTCAATGGGACTGTGTGTGCGTCTGTGGGTCTCTGAAAGTCTGGGTATCTATGTGAGTCTATGGGACTGCGTGTCAGTGGGTCTCTATGAAAGTGTGGGTCTCCATGTTAGTCAATGGGACTGTGTGCGTCTGTGGGTCTCTATGAAAGTGTGGGTCTCCATGTTAGTCAATGGGACTGTGTGTGTCTGGGTCTCTATGAAAGTGTGGGTATCTATGTGAGTCTATGGGACTGTGTGTCAGTGGGTCTCTATGAAAGTGTGGGTCTCCATGTTAGTCAATGGGACTGTGTGCGTCTGTGGGTCTCTATGAAAGTGTGGGTCTCCATGTTAGTCAATGGGACTGTCATCGTCTGTGGGTCTCTATGAAAGTGTGGGTCTCCATGTTTGTCAATGGGACTGTGTGCGTCTGTGGGTTTCTATGAAAGTGTGGGTCTCCATGTTAGTCAATGGGACTGTGCGTCTGTGGGTCTCTATGAAAGTGTGGGTCTCCATGTTTGTCAATGGGACTGTGTGTGCATCTTTGGGTCTCTATGAAAGTCTGTGCATCTCTCTGTTAGTCTGTGACACCGAATGGAGTTACGCTAATTTAATTTTTCAACCCACTATTTGCCATGGCTTCCGGCGTTTCGTACAGGAAGAGTGTGCGGTGCCTTGCTGTGGTTCTATGAGCCCTCACTGTGCGTGCGCGTGTGCGTGTGTGCGTGTGTGCGTGTCGTTATCCTCGCCGCTCCTGGCCGTGCCCGGCGTGACGCGACCGTGCCGCTTCCTGCTCCGTGACTTTGGGGACCCAGCCGCGGTGAGGAAATCACATCGCAGTCACTGTCCCCCTCGCGCGACGCGTTGCACTACGGCTGCACATGCTTAGGCCGCTGAAAAAAAACCACTAAGACAAAAATCTTCCCCCCCCTCCACCACCCTTAACAAGACTGTTGGGGAAAGCGGACAGACACACTGACACGCACAAAAGCCGCCAGTCGCCAATAATAAGTGGCGGTGACGTCACCACGGCGCGTTGCGCCAGGCTACGTGCACGTCAAGGCCACGTGAAGTGTCAAATGCCCGCTGGCGGGAAGTCGCAGGACAGACCCAGGTGGTGCCATGGGTTGACTGCTGTGCCAGGCTAGGTGCAGGAGGAGGAGGTCACGGGACAGACCCAGGTGGTGCCATGGGTTGACTGCTGTGCCAGGCTAGGTGCAGGAGGAGGTCACGGGACAGACCCAGCAGGTGCCATGGGTTGACTGCTGTGCCAGGCTAGGTGCAGGAGGAGGCCGTGGGACAGACCCAGCAGGTGCCATGGGTTGACTGCTGTGCCAGGCTAGGTGCAGGAGGAGGCCGTGGGACAGACCCAGCAGGTGCCATGGGTTGACTGCTGTGCCAGGCTAGGTGCAGGGGGAGGTCACGGGACAGACCCAGGTGGTGCCATGGGTTGACTCCTGTGCCAGGCTATAGTGCAGGAGGAGGCCGTGGGACAGACCCAGCAGGTGCCATGGGTTGACTGCTGTGCCAGGCTAGGTGCAGGAGGAGGCCGTGGGACAGACCCAGCAGGTGCCATGGGTTGACTGCTGTGCCAGGCTAGGTGCAGGGGGAGGTCACGGGACAGACCCAGGTGGTGCCATGGGTTGACTGCTGTGCCAGGCTATAGTGCAGGAGGAGGCCGTGGGACAGACTCAGCAGGTGCCATGGGTTGACTGCTGTGCCAGGCTAGGTGCAGGAGGAGGCCGCGGGACAGGTGCCATGGGTTTTACTGACTGAGGCGATCGGCCGACGCACCACCTGTGCCCCCACGCTGTCCCAACGCACGCAGACGCAAACACTCAGCTACGCTCACGTACGTGCGCGCTCCTTCACACACACACACAGAGCACATTAACTGGACATCTGTGAAAAAGGGCTTTATAGCTCATCGGATTTCTCCAGTATAAATAAATATTCTGGCTCCGAACGAGCCGAATAGGTTTTTACCCTTTTCTGGTAATAAAGCAGGTGTGTTAAGTCTTGATTTGAAGCTTTCGTGACTGCAGGGGTATAGGTGTCTTAAGATTTTAAAACACCAAACAGAAACCCTTGGCAAGGAATAATGTACTGCATTAACCAAACTATATACTACACTACTATTCACTACATTATTATACATTACACCACTACACTACACCACTACACTATATACTACACTCCACGACTACACTAAACTACTGTACACTTCACACGACACTATACCATACCTTTCAACCCATATGGTTTGCCCGGATTATTGTGCAGGGAAATTTAGTTTTTAGGTCCATACGGCGTGCAGCCGATTTAAATATCGGCAAAAAACCCCACAATTCTTGTCTATTTGTTTGTGTTTCTCCCTTGTGATGGGACCTTGTCGGATGAACGTTGAGATTTATAAGGGGCACACCAATAAGGTTATGAATTGGTCTGTAATAAGGTAGGGCACTGATAAGGGATTGACCGGTATAGTAGTGTCATCGTGTAGTAGTAGTAGTATACTATAGTAGTGTAGTGATTATTATTCTTGGTTCTTTCGGTAAAGTCACGTAGAAGGGAAACAATAAAATAATAAAAAATATAAAACAATAAAATTCTCACGACGTTTCGACTGCAACACAAGCAATTATGATTGCAATGAAGCAATTATGATTGTAATGATGATTGCTTGTGTTGCAGTCGAAACGTCGTGAGAATTTTATTGTTTTATATTTTTATTATTTTATTGTTTCCCTTCTATGTGGTGACTTTACCGAAATAACCAAGAATAATAATTTTAGTTTCGATTTAAAGCTTTCGTGACTGCAATGATTCATCTTCTTTGGTTCTTTCGGTAAAGTCACGTAGAATGAGAATAAAATAATAAATTGATAAAATAAAATAACACAATAATATTCTCACGACGTTTCGGCCACAACACAAGCGGCCTTCATCAGGTGAAGGGACGAGACTGTCTGGTAGGACAGCGCTGTCCTACAGCGCTGTCCTACCAGACAGTTCTTTCTACCGAAAGAACCAAAGAAGAATAATTTTAGTGTTTTACAATAATTTTATTGTTTTATATTTTTATTATTTTATCGTTTCCCTTCTACGTGGTGACTTTACCGAAAGAACCAAGAATATGAATCCCTGCAGTCACGTTAGCTTTAAATCAACATTCAGTGTAGTGATTGTCTATTTGTTTGCGTTTTTCCCTTGTGACGGGACTTTGTGGGATGAACGTTGAGATTTATAAGGGGCACGGGGTGACCAATAAGGTTATGAATTGGTCTGTAATAAGGGGTTGACAGTTATGAAAGAAAGTATTGGAAAGGTGAACCAAGCAGGGGCGGAAAAAACAACGATTGTAAACGTCACCCTTGGCGTCTCTTTCGGTAAGCAACGAAACGATGGCTCGATGCAGTGGCCGCCGCCTATCGTCGCGTGGACATTTATGGAGGCGAGAAACATTTTACCGAAACGCTCGTTGGTAAATGTGGAGGAGGGGCGGGGGGGGAAATAAAAACGGAGGGACCCCGCACGGTGTGCAGGGGTTTGTGGGTTCGATGCCAACCCCTGACGCCTGCTGCTGTATATTCTCATCATCATGGTGGCAAGGAGATGTTAACTACCTCGCCTGGTATGCAGGAGGTCGTGGGTTCCATCCCCGAGCCTGACGATTCCTGGCTGCTGTATACTTGGAGTTTGCACCTTTCTCTCATCATCATCATCATGGTGGCAAGGAGATGTTAACTACCTCGCCTGGTATGCAGGAGGTCGTGGGTTCCATCCCCGAGCCTGGCGATTCCTGGCTGCTGTATACTTGGAGTTTGCACCTTTCTCTCATCATCATCATCATGGTGGCAAGGAGATGTTAACTACCTCGCCTGGTAATGCAGGAGGTCGTGGGTTCCATCCCCGAGCCTGGCGATTCCTGGCTGCTGTATACTTGGAGTTTGCACCTTTCTCTCATCATCATCATGGTGGCAAGGAGATGTTAACTACCTCGCCTGGTATGCAGGAGGTCGTGGGTTCCATCCCCGAGCCTGGCGATTCCTGGCTGCTGTATACTTGGAGTTTGCACCTTTCTCTCATCATCATCACCATCATGGTGGCTATGAGATGTTAACTACCTCGCCTGGTCTACAGGAGGTTCGTGGGTCCGATCCCATAACCCTGACGATGCCTACTGCTGTATATTTGGGGTCTGCGTCTCTGTCTCTCTCTCTCATCACCATCATGGTGGCTATGAGATGTTAACTACTTCGCCTGGTATGCAGGAGGTCGTGGGTTTTAATCCTGACCCCTGACGCCTGCTGCTATATTTGGAGTCTGCGTCTCTCTCTCTCTCATCATCATCATGGTGGCTAGGAGATGTTGACTACTTCACCTGGCATGCAGGAGGTCGTGGGTTCGATCCCTGACGCCTGCTGGTGTACATTTGGAGTCTGCGTCTGTCTCTATCATCATCATCGTCATCATCATGGTGGCTAGGAGATGTTAACTACCTCGCCTGGTATGCAGGAGGTCGTGGGTTCGATCCCCGACCCTGACGATTCCTGGCTGCTGTATATTTGGAGTCTGCGTCTCTCTCTCTCATCATCATCATCATGGTGGCTAGGAGATGTTGACTACTTCACCTGCCATGCAGGAGGTCGTGGGTTCGATCCCTGACGCCTGCTGGTGTACATTTGGAGTCTGCGTCTGTCTCCATCATCATCGTCATCATCACGGTGGCTAGGAGATGTTAACTACCTCGCCTGGTCTACAGGAGGTTCGTGGGTCCGATCCCATAACATTGACGATGCCTACTGCTGTATATTTGGGGTCTGTGTCTCTGTCTCTCTCTCTCATCACCATCATGGTGGTTATGAGATGTTAACTACCTCGCCTGGTATGCAGTAGGTCGTGGGTTTTAATCCTGACCCCTGACGCCTGCTGCTATATTTGGGGTCTGCGTCTCTCTCTCTCATCATCAATGTGGCTTGGAGATGTTGACTACTTCACCTGGTCTACAGGAGGTCTATGTGGAGTCTGCGTCTCTCTCTCATCATCACGGTGGCTAGGAGATGTTAACTCCGCGGCAGTAAGGTGCGGGGGGTTGCCGCCCCGTTGGTCGAAAGACTCGTCGGGCGTGGAATTGCTAGCCCCGTGCACGCACAGCGGATGCGGGGGGGCGGGGTAAAGCGAAGAAAAACTGCGCTCGTTCAATTCGCATTTCGTCCGGCATTCCCTCGCCATTCCCTAACGTCGCCGTCCACAAATCACATCTGGAACTCTCTACACGACCGCTGCACCGAGAGCGAGAAAGTGATGAGGGATAGCGATGACAGGTAGAGGATACAGAATGTAATGAGATAATGCGACGACGAGAGACGGATGTGATGAGAGAGAAAGCGATGAGAGAGATAATATGGCGATGCACGGCATCATAACTTTTAAAGGTAAGTTTATTTATAAACGATTACTTAATGCTTTAATTTTATTTTTTTTACTTTATAACGCGTTTATTGTAACCAATTTTTACTCTGTTGCGTTATTATGACGATGGTATTGTATCTAGCAGCTTGCTTATATACTTATTTAAGGCAGATCATTAAAAGTTTGCTATTCGTGAGCATCTCCGGAAGGCATCCCACGCGATTAACATAGGAACGCTGTACTCTGAAATCGGCCTGCAGTCAGGCAGGCTGATCATTCCGTGCACTGTATGACACTCAAAAAGACAAAGATGCCCCGTGTAGCCTTAACAGGCTTCTGGGGCAAGTGGCCATCAGCTGCGAGTAGCTGCAGCAGCGCCTATGAACGCCGGCACGGTGGCACAAG